CCAGCTTCCCCTGGAGGCCTGCGGGCGGGGCAGGGGAGGGGCAGAGGCCTGGGGGCTGCTGTCACCTTTAGGAGTCCAGACTGGCATCGTGGAGGATGGGAAGCTGACAACACCAGGGAGCAGAGGAAGGGCTCGGCAGACCCTGAAGAGTGGGCCCCCTGAGGCAATCCTGCCGGCCTCTGCAGGAGGGTCTGGGGGAGGGAGGGAAGGGGCCGCTCTCCCACCCACACCCACCCCATGCCCTCCTCCCGTCCCTCTGGGCCAGGGGTCCCTAAGGCTGCCAGTGGACACCCTCCGCGCAGAGCCTGCACAGGCCTGAGGGGCCCTGTGGGTGCTGTGACCCCGTCTGTATGATGGGGCTGTGCACTGGGGGCACCCCAGCTCTGACTTCCTGTCTTCTCTGCTGCCCCCCGAGAGAGACCTCATCCACGGGCACCCCATCTGTGCCCATGCACCCCGGGTGGCTCTCGCAGCCCTCGGCTGTGCTCCCTCGTCTGCCTTGACCTCCAGGAGAGCTGAGCCACCATGCCCACCCGCAAAGCCTGGGGCTGAGCCGCTTCCCCACCGCCCCGCCGCCCCCGCCCCAGCTGTTGTTGCTTTGTCACCTTTCTCCGCCCAAAGGGAGAAAGCAGCTCGTTTGGGTTCTGAAGTCTGGATTCTGGTGCATTTTTTCATGTTTCTCAGCATTCAACTTTCTTTTCTTCTCTGCCTCCGTCTCCCACTCCTTCTCTCTCTCTCTCTCTGAATGCTGCCCTGTACCTGCATTTCTATTTTGAGGGTTTTCTTCCTTTTTGACCCCTCGGCATTGTGTGCGGTCAGTGCCTGAACACAGATGCTGTGCATGTGCATCTTGCTGTATTTTGCTCAGCTGCCCAGTAAGCCTCACTCATGGTGGGCTTTCCCCTGCACCTGATTTTTCAGTGTGTGTGGAGACAGACGCATTCACGTTTCCTTTGGTGTCCATGGCTTCTTTGTTGAGTCAAATGGCATGTTCCCCACCATTATAAAAATACCCATTATGTTGTCTTATGGGAAAGCAAGTGAAGGAGCTCACACACATTCCAGATACCCCCTTCCATCCTTGGCTCAGGGTCCCTCGGCAGCCAGGTCCTCAAAGCAAGCCCTGGACCAAAATGTGAACACAGGAGAGGGTCATGGGAGGCAATTATTCCTGAGAAAGAAAACGAGCGATCTGAAAACTGTTAGGAGGCCAGCTGGGTCCCAGTTGCCAAATGCAGCCCCAGGGTAGCTTCCTGCCATGGACGTTCCCCCTGGTCAATGGCCATAAGTGTCTGGCCTGGGTCCAAGTTCCGTGCACATGGACATCCAACTCAGGAAGGGAACTGTTTCCCAGAAACAGCACAACATGGCCAGGATTCGGGAGACATCCATACCTGAACCATAAAAGCATTTACTACCGGCCATCTGTTCATGGATGTGTCCCCGGGCCGCGTTTGCAGCTGTGTGCTCTCTGGTTTTCTGAGGTGAAGCTCTTGAGACCTGGTGAGATGGGCATTGTCCCTAGTGCCCACTGAGGCCCGTGTCCACAGGCGGCCTTGTGAATGAAGGGTTTTGCATGTTGGCTCACAATGGTAATCCACTCCTGGATGTGTTTGTTGAACTGAAGTACATAAACACTGGATTGATGGCTCAGACAGTGAGCACATTCCCACTCCTGTTCCTCTGTACCTGACTTTATGTGTCCTTAAACGCATGCGTTCAGAGGAGCCATGTGCCTACTGTGGACAGTGCACAGACCCGCTGCAGGGGGGTCCCGTCGCAGTGCAAGCAGCCCTCCTACCTCCAAGCCCCTCCTGTGTGAATGGCTGGAGCTCCCTCTGCTTGTTGTAAAGAACCAGTCTGCATCTAAAGGGCAGTAGAATCTGTGAGGTGTCCTAAGGGTGGGACTCGGCTGGATTTTAGTTTGATACGTCCGCTCTGATGCTCATGAGGAAAATTAATTGAAGACCAGAGGTGGGGGATGGAGGACACCCGAGAAGAGGTGGCTATAGGACACTGGGGAGAGATGACAGAGGTGTGGCGGAGAGGTGGCAGGCAGGGAGATGGAGAGTCACGTCCATAAGCAAAGTTTTTCTGTGACACGCTGACTCGTTGCTGCCGTCTGTGGCTGCTTTCAACCCCATGGCCGCACTGAGTGGTTGAGTCAGAGACTGAATGGCCCACAAAACCTAAAATACCTACGGTGTGACTACAGAAAAGGTTGGCCCACCCCAGGCACAGAGTCTCACGGCCCGGAACTTCATGTGGACCCAGCTTCGAGGAAAATTCCAGAGCTTCCCACATAGCCAGGGCCCCCAGGTTCTCTAGAGGACCTCCGACTCCCCAGGCCCACAGGCTGGCTAAGGAGGGTGGGATTCATTGTAAGAGCAGCAGGATTCGACGGGAAGGGTCCGCAGGGGTGGCCTGGCCGTGTTTCCCTTTGAGAAGGAAGGGTGCCTAAGGGCTGCTTTTGCAGTGCCTCGAGAGTAGCGGATGGAGGAGTCCGCATCTGAGGCAGAGTCCACAAGATGAGGGGACCCGTCATGTACGGGGCCGTGGAGAAGGCAAGTGGCCCCCTTCTTCCAGGACAGATGTAGGACAGCCTCAGGCGAGGTGAGTGAGATACAGCGGGGTCCTAAAATTCATTCCAACGGCTGCTTTTATTCATCTTAAAGACGTGGCTTCCAGAACATTTTAAGTTATATACATAGTCTGAATCATCTTTCTGTTGGGCAACGCTGGTCTGAAGGGAATCTGACCCAACCTTCTGATCAGCTAGGTTTCTTATCAGTGATGTGACCAAGTTTGAAATATGTTGAGTCTGAAATTTTTTTTCTTTTTAGTGATGTTATGGAGGTGAAATTCACATATCACAAGACGAACTATGTTAAAGAGAACAGTTTGGTGGCATAGGTGCTGTCCTGATGTCGACCCTCACCTCTGTCTAGCTCCAGATATTTTCAACCCCCCAAACAGAACCTAAGTCCACCAAGCGGTCACTCCCCACCCATCCCCCGGGCCCTGGTGTCAGACTGTGTGCGGAGCTTAGAAGGAGGTCTGAGTGGGGAGGCACCCGGAGGCAGACGTGAGTGTGGAGAGGGGCTCTCCGGCGACACAGGGCCCCGCAGGAGGCCTCCCCGGTCTGATGGGAAATAACGGGGAAGACTTACGTACCATGGTGGATGTGTAATATATAAAACATGTGACACCGCGGGTGTTAATGGGCAGTATGGGTGGGTGGTTCTCAAACCTGACCTGCATTGGACACGCCTGGAGGGCTCATTAAGCTCTGGCTGAGCCAGGAGATGTGGATTTCCAAGTTCCCAGGGGACATCACGCTGCTGGCCCTGGCGACCACACTTTTCCCGTCGCTGCCTGGAGAGATGATGGCTCATCCCTATTTCCCTCATTTATTCTCCCTTTTATTCCTTCATCCTTCTCATTCATCTTCCACCTTTGCTCCCAGGAAATTAAATTCCCTGAGTCATGCCTTTCGCATGTCGGTAGGATTTTTAATGGCCTGGAGCTGCTCTGGAATCAGGAGGCAGGGCAGGGGGTGGCGGGCACCTGTCCTCCTGTGTCCTCCCCGTCCCCCACCAGCTGGGTCAGGCGCTCTGCTTTGTTCTCCTGGTACCTGCAGTGCGGGTGGCAGGCTTATTCGTTGCCATGGAAACTCCTGGCTGGCGTGGGAGGGATGCTTCAGAGACTGGGATTTTACAGGCTCTAGAGGGAAACATGTACGGGTTCAAAAGAATCCCAGCATGTAGTTGTCATGTCCGTATGCTTCCTGAAAAGGCAGGAAGTCTAATCACACCAGGAGAGCAGACTCCTCACTGAGGGGCAGAGATTGGGGGCGGGCATGGGGGTCCAGCAGAGGTGTGCCCATTAACAGCCCTTGTTAATCAAGTTATGACTGGTAGAAGTTTAAACAATGCCTAAAAGCTGAAACAAGCAGAGATCATGTCCAACAATCGCAAAGGAGAAAATATCACGGAACACGTATTGACCCCTGGAGGTACTAAATCAATCGGTGGCATGATTTGGTGGCTTCCTTCCATTATGCAACAGCCATGCTCTTGGCATGTATTCATGTTGAATCTTGGAGCTTTGATCCATTCATTTAAACGGCTGCCTAGCATGCTATTGTGAGAATCCTCTCTATTTCGAGTTGACCCTTGAACAACTTGGGGCTTCAGGAGGCCAGCCCCCACCCTGCACAAAAATTCATGTATAACTTTTGACTCCCCACAAGCCTAACTATGAACAGCCTACTGTTGATTTTATGGTAGTAAGTGATAAAAAAAAAGACTAGTATCTACATATATTTTCCACATCCATGACATATATAACTTTTTCTTCATTTCTTCACTATTTCCATCCAGGCTATCTGGTTCATCTGCAAGTTTTTCAAACTGTCACAAATCTCCCAAAATATTTCCAATATACTTATTGAAAAAGAAAACCCGTGTGTAAGTGGGCCTGTGCAGCTCCCGCCCATGCTTCTCAGGCCCGTCGCACACACCCGTGCTCCTGTGGGCGAGCATCTAGGGCCCCACCCCCACCCCAGGTATTTGCACTCTCAGGACAGCACTGGAAATTGGAACACAAGTATTTGTCAGATAAGTGATAGTTGCAGTGTCCGTTCTGGTACTTGTCTCCTTGCTCACTTGGAGAGTTCTCCAGGGTGTGTGTCCAGTGAGGGAATCGTAGTTTTTAGCTTCCCTGGATATTACCAAATTGTTCTCCCCATGGGGAGTTTGTTTTCTGTTTCTCCCATTAAAAGGAGGCCCCACGAGGGCAAGACTTTTTCTATCTTTGGTCTCTGTCGTGTCCCAGTAGTTTTTGGAGTGTCTGGTAGTTGGTACGTACTCAGTACGTTTTCTAGATAAATGATGAACGGTTGAGTTATTTTGCCCAAAATTGGAATTGTGCCACATATGTGAGCATTTATTCTTTTTCATATAACATACTCTCATAACATTAAATATTTTTTTCAAAAGGTTTGTTTTTAAAGAATTTGCTGGAGACACCCTTGGGCACGCGTTCCCGGCTTGTTTTGATGTTCTCGCCCTCACAGACGTCATGACCCGCATGCAGGTAAGTGGCTTTGTAGGGGTTCAGAAGGGCAGGCATAGATTCCCAAAAGTGGAGTGATTGGACCAAAGGACACGTGCATTTAAAATTTTTATAATCCTTGCCAGACATTGGCCAGGAAGGGTGGGCCATGCCCCAGCCCCTCCGCCGGCTGGGGCGCCAGTCCCTTATCCTGGTCTGCCTGGTGGGTGGGGGTGGGGGTGGGGGGCAAGTGCTGTGTCATTCTGGTCTCAAAGTCGGGGCTTTGGAGCCCAAGGGAGGTGTTACTGAACATCTGACCAGGAGTTGATCCTGGGTGGGTGGCGCCTGAAGCTTCACAATTTGGGGAAAAGAGCACAAAGTGACAAATGTGAAAACTTGGTGCAAAAGTGAAAATTTATTTAGAATGAGTACAGAAATCACAACGAATCACCCAGAATACCACTACATTGCTCAAATCCCATAGCGTATCATGAAGTCTTAACATGTTTTACTACGGGCTTAACACACCTCATACAGTACTTTTTCTCCTATGTGGTTTTTTGGGGGAGGGGGAGGGACGGGTGCTGCAAACTCATCCATTACTGCTTCTTTTAAAAACAATTTTGTAACATAATTTTTGTGGGAGGGAATAGGAAGACAGGGTAGCCTTCGTTCTAGGATAGCTAAACAAAAAGACAATTACCGTGTGATTCCGCTTCTGTGAAGTGCTGGAGTCGTCAGATTCACCGAGACAGAGTCGGGTGGTGGTTACGGGCACGGAGGTCGGGGTGCACAGCTGGTGTCTAGTGGGTGCAGAGTCTTGGTTTTGCACCATGAGAAAGTTCTGGAGGTTGGTTACACAACATGGACATACTCAACACTACTGAACTGTACACTAAAAAATGGCTCAGGCAGCAGATTTTATGCCATGTGTGTTTTACCACAATGAGAACATTTCTTAAAGATAAGATGACCCTGAAGAGAAGATGGTGTAACTGTTGCAACTCACGAAGACAGTGAAGGAGCTCAGACCCTGCAGAGGATGAAGGGAATGCACCGCAGACACATGTCCCTGCAGACTTATCAGCGTCTGGGAAGATAGTTGCCACTTTTTGCTTTCAGATTTCAGAACAGCTGCACAGTCAGATACCGACTGAGAATGGTGTTCACACTGGGTCACGGTCACTCTGAGCTTGATTTACTTTGTGGAATAACGTCTCCAGTGGATAGTTGAAGACTATCAGAGAGTGGCCCCCAAAACTCTCAGGTTTTTCCAGGATAGCAAACCCACAGCTCACCCTCTGCTCAAGGCCTGCCTTGTTCGGGGTCGGCTTTGGAACTGGGCTTGTGTTTGGCTTCTGGCTTAGAGCGTTTGATTTTCTGCTTCGTGTTGTAAACATTGTCCCTGTCATTTTAATTCATTCTTTGTGTACAGTTTCGTTCAAATAAGGCACATCTGTTTTCCCACCATGGACACAGTAACAGCTCCTGTGAAATTGTTATCTGAGGATTAAATGCTCCCTCTTGTCTGGCACAGCATGCTTTTGAGTGTTGCTGCCATCCAAGGAAGACAGCCTCCTGCGCTCTGTGTGAAGGCGCCGGCCCGTCGGGGGCCTCCGCGGACTCGCCCACCCTGGAAACCTCTGATGCAAGTAGTGCTGGTCTCCTCGAAAACCGCCCACAAACAAAACTTGAGGCTTCGGAAAGACTAGCCTGGCTGCCCTAATAAACTATCATCACTGCATATTCAGCAGATTCTTTGTGAATACTTTTGAGATCACATTTTTTGGGGGAAAACAACCCCAAAAACCAATAACAGTATTGAATGGAGTTTGGTTCATCTGACAGATCGTGATGAAAGCGCACGGTCCTTATTAAAACCAGCAGATATCACGAAAATGAAGCTAGCGCCAACCTCCATGCACAGTTGTGGTGACCCACAATTTGGGGTTTTTATTTGCTATCATTTCCATTTTCTTTCTGCTTTTAATTTCTTATCTGGAAGCCCTCGTCCTTGTAAGAAGAAAAGAAAAATGTCTCCTGCAGTTGTTTTCATTTTCTGTTATCTGTATCCCTTTGTCACGAGCCTTTTCCTTATCACCATGATTTTGCCTAACAGTGTTTTGAGTCACTCTCATAACCTCAAGTGCCTGCCAGGTTCCTTTCTTTCAGACTGAAATTTGGCTTCTGCTAGCATACCTCCCTTTTTTGGCATATTTGAATTCTGATGTGATTGATAATTCTGGAAAAATATATACAAAGCTGATCTGAAATTGAATCGTACAGAAGAGCAGTCCAAATGCTTTTCAAAATTGCCATTATGTTCTCATTGGTGGTGATGAAAAATTGTGCCCTCAGACTGCCGTTCCACCACAATGACTAATGGATGGACAGGTCACTGAGCGTGTGCGGGTGCAGTGTGACCGGAGCGCCTGCTTCTGTGGGTCACTTCTCTGCATCAGCAGGAATGCTGTGTGGCATCTTGGCTGGAACCGTGAGACATCCTCAGGACCAGGTGAATCAGACATGCATCCTCACAGGCAGTCTGACTGTTTGTCAGGCCAGACCCAAGCAAACAGGGAGTCTGCTCAGATCTCTATCACACTTTCCCAAGATGTAATCATAAACACCGCCCTAGCGGGTTCCCTGCTGACAGAGAAGAGCTTGTGTCCTGACTAGGCGGTAGTGAGAGCTCAGTTCTCCAGTTAAAAATGCTACACGTTTTGTGTTTAGAAGATTTTTCCCACAGATCAGCTCCTGCTCTGCACCTTTCAGACCCGATTTCTTCCTCACAGTTGTCAAGTTCCTGGTGCCCTGCACCATGAGACATGTTCCCGGTGTCATAGGCTTCTTCACACATTTGACATAGGGTTGGCATGATACAGTATTTCTGGAGCTGTTTGTACACCGGTATGGTTACTAACAACTTTATAGTTATTTACCCAACTGTGTAATATTATGTATTATATATATAACCAGATATATAGATACAGCCTTGTCTACATCTCTCTATATATATTACTTTATAATAACTAATAACAGAAATAGGGCTGCCGGATAAAATTTGATTTCATGTGAACAATGAACACTCATTTAGGACAAGTATATAGTAACCACAAGCTCCAAATATTGCACAGGACGTATTTATACCAGAAGGTATTCACTGTTCGTTTGAAATACAAACCCAACCGAGTATCCCATATTTTTGTTTCCTAAATCTTGCATCCCTGAACATACACATTTTCCACTCAATCTGCCTCCACTCACCGTGCCCTTGGCTAGGGCTCAAAACACCCGTGAGCTCCTCAGTGCCATCTGATGGGAGGGTGTTTTTAAGGACGAAGGCATCAAAGTAGAAACAGATGGTGATTTCAGCCAACTACTTTTAAAAATCTCACTTTTGCAAACTACAGAAATGTACCGCTAGACTTAAAGAAGAAGCCAGATCAAAGCTTGGAGCTTAATCTTCATTGTAAATGAACACAGTGTGAACTGACATTTCAAGCCCCACCCCATACCAGTTTCTCTATTTTGGTGTTTGTAATGGGTTGACTGTTTCCTTGTGCGGAGCTGAGAGAAGAGGGCCATGGACCCTGTCTCCGGCCCAAACACTGCCTTCCACCCGCCCTCCACTCCAGCTGAGGCCCCGGGCACAGGGAGCCACGGAAGGGGGCAGGCATGAAGGGGGAACGGGGTTCACGTGGGACAGGAAGTCAGTCATCCCAAGAAGAAGCTGTTGGAACGTCAACCCTGAGCCCAGGCGCCAAGTCAAACTACCCACCTGGAATCCTCCCCTGGATTCGGGAGCTGGAAGCTGGACAGTGACACACACTCCCGTCCAAGTCCAAAGGGACCAGTTTTCTCAGAAGCAACTCGGTGTGGCCTCTGTTCTGCAGACGCCTGTCCCTGAAGCCCTTCCCTCCAGGCCGGCTCCCTCCCTCTGCACCTCTCTCCCCTCAGCTCTGCCACCCTGGAGAGACCCTCCCTGACCTTGTCATGACCCTGATCTAGTTTTCCTGTCAGGACATCATCATCTGTGGCTGTTTTCAGCCCCCCTCCTCTGCTAAGACGGAAAGTCCAAGAGATCCAAGACTGGCTGGTTTCCACGAATCTCCATCTCTAGATGGTGAGAGAGACTCTAGGAAAACTCAAAGAGCAAATCGTGAATGCAGTGGAACTTTCTTAATGAAGCAATGCCTTTCCCGGGCAGAGGCTCTGCCAGGGTCGGTGTGTTCCTGTAATTCCAGCTCCCAGCACTGAGGAGGGGCTCAATCCATTTTTATCACAGGACGGAATGCATGAATGTATGAATGGAGGGAGGTGACGCTTATATCACTAGAGGTTGTAGGAGATTGGTGATTTCTAACAGAGAGACCCCAGAGAAGCCAATTTAGTTTTGTTTTGCAAAGACCCTGTCTCCTGGGCCAGGCTTCCTGCAGGAGGCTGTGCCCCGAGGCCCTGATGGGGGTCTGGGCCCTCCCCCCAGCCCGCCCCACCCCCACGCAGGCTCCTGCAGTTCAGCTCCTGCTCCTCCGCTCTTTCATCCGAGAGCTTTGACGCAGTCCTGCGCTTGGCTCAGGCTGTTGCCATGGAAACTGTCCCTGGCGTGGGCCGGGAGCCGCGCTGCTGAAATGGAGAAAGAGCCAGAGAGCTGGGAATTTCCCAGCCTCTAAAGGTGGTTCACTCTAGACGCCAGCTGGTCGACCCTGTAGCCACTGGCTGTCGGTGGCCACTGAGCACTTGAAATGCGGCCGGCCCGAGTCGAGATGGCTGTCGTTGTAAAACACTGGATTTTGAGGAGTTACTGCAAAAAATAATCTTTTTAAAATACCTCATTAAACATTTTGGTATTGATTAGGTTCACCTATTTTATTGTATTTGATTTTTTAAATTAAAGAGGTTACTAGAAAACGTGGAGTGAGTTATGTGGCTCAAATTCGTGGCTCTTCTAGAGCGCATGTTCGGGAACAGATGGGTGAGGGAACTGTCGTGGGCAGACACCGGGATTGTTGTACGCGTACTGGGTTCTATCCGGCTTTCTTCCTCAACTTCCTAATGAATAGTTGGCAAAGATCTTAGTTGAAGGGTTTATAGATACTGTTTTCAGTTGTGATTAAACTGGGAGTTATTACAGTTCTTCAACCCAGGCTTTAAGATGCCATTTCTATTTTTAAAAAGGAGGCACCTTCGCTGGCGGTGAAACCGGGTCGCCGCTGCAACCGACACCCTGTGCGCCTTCTGCGCGTCAGCTGCCACCGCCCTGTGCACATCACCCCACGTCGCCGGGCAAACGTCCCTGATGTTCATGTTGACGGGTTCCCAGAAGCAGCTTTCCGAGTCCAGGGCGTTCACGCGCACAGACGCTCTCGCGGCTCCCACGAGGGCGGTGCCCCCCACGCCCCCACTGCCCCGACGCGCCAACTCTGGGGGGCCTCGCGGTGCTCATCTAAGTCAGAGCAACGGCCGTCCGTTTTGGTTTCGACCTCCGGGCTTGTTATTTTTAAACTGGTAGAGCACGTAACACATAACATCGAATGTACTGTCTTACATTTCAGAGAGTGCAGGTCAGTGGTACTAAGGGCTGTCACGCTCCTGGGCGGCCGCCACCCCCCACCTCCAGGCTTCCCTCCATCTTGCGGAACTGAAACTCTGTCCCCGTTAAACACTAAGCCCCACCCCTCCCCAGCCCCCGGGCCCACCACCCTGCTTTCTCTATGGATTTGGTGACTCCAGGGACCTCACAGAGGGAGAGCCATACAGCACGTGTCTTTTTAATGACTGGCTCTTGTCACTGAGCATCATCCTCACAGTCCATCCGCGCTGTAGCAGGTGCCAGACTTTCCTTCCTTTTTACGATGAACGATATTCCCACTGTTTGGATGGACCACATCTGGTCTGTCCATCATCCGTGGATGGAAACTCAGGCTGCTCCCCGCGTCTGGCTGTTGTGAATATGCAGTTCTAGTTCTTGATCACAGGAAGGTGGAGCACCCTTTCCTGGTGCTCCAAGATTCTGCAGTTTCTCTTTCATGAGCCGCCTGTGTGAGTCCTTTCCTACTTCCCTAATTTGATGTCCAACGTTTCCATGAGCATCGTTTGGATATTGTCGATAGAATTCCTCTGATTTTAGAGGATACAATGATTTCACCCAGGTGGCTATTGTGATAGGGGTTTTCGTGTACTTACATCGTTAGTGTTTATGGAATAAGGTTTAATACTCTTGGACTTCGTGTTTGCTGGTGTTCATGCACTGTCTTGAGTAAGGCGGCTCCCACCCATCGTCACAGGAGTGCTCCCCTGCATTGTGCTGGGCTCCTGTGCAGGCACCGCCCTGCTCCTCCCCGTTTGAAACCCTAGTCCTCAGGGAGGTCCAGGATCCCAGTGTTGCAGGAGGGATCTGGGCCGCATCTGGGTTCAGCTGGGGCACCTGTCTAATTGGAAACTTGTGGACCTGGGAAAGAAGCACTTTGAATGTTGCTTCCTGGCCCAATCATCAGATTATATTTTATTTCAAAGACTCCCCATGGTTCATGAGCTCAGCGCTCGGCTATAAACCAAACAATACATACATTGCCTCCCTAGCAGGAAGTGGTTGGATTTCGTGGAAATAACTCAGTGTTGACCTCTGTTCTGAAGGCATGAATTTCCAAATCGTGAAAATATTCAACACGAGCCCTCTCTTCTCCAGACTCTTTCCTTCCATGTTCTTCTGTCTTAACTTTTCTTAGTTTTCTAGGGTGAAACCCTGGTCTCCTCTTCTGAGGACTGGGTCCCTGTCTTGGCTGCTGGCCCCAAACTAACTGCTGCTCGTGTGTCCACATTGCAAATGTTTACACACAACAGCCATCTGGTTCCAGATATGCTGGTTTAAACCAAATCACCCAATGCGCTGAACCATACAATGCCCGGTCAACCAGAAGATTCTGCTCCGTCGTGCGTGCACATGCATACATTAGGGCAGGCACATATTTTCAAAGACATGGTTTGCACTTTCCTAAAGGCAATCCTGAGTCAGACATCATGCAGAGAATCCCAGCGAGGCAGCCCGGCCCCAGGCCAAGTGCGTCCCCCACCTCCCCCAGGGCTGCCTGGGAGGGGATTGTGGAGGACGAGGTGCTGGCAGGAGGGGACAGAGTCCTTGTGCGCAGAGCCACGGGCACCCACTGAAGAGATCCAAGCAGGGGAGAGACGCAGTCAGGTGCCTTGGGGTGGAGAAAGGGAAAATAGTTACGTTTATATACATATACGTGTATATCTGATACATGTATAATTGTATAATATATATGTATATTACACATACTTATCTAAATGTGTGTGTATGTATAATAAATGTATATGTTAAATACAGCATACAATAAAAATAGTATATATAGTCAAATACATGTATTTTACATATGTATGCTTAAAACCAGTAACTGGTCAAAGAGAATGAACATTTTTAAGGCTCTGGACTTTTCTCCCACTGACAGTCTAGTGAAAAACATGGGTTACATTTTACTGTGTTTTCTAGTCTTTCTTCTGTGCACGTCTCCACGTTACAGTTTTACACGGAATTGGTGTGATTCTTTCTTGGCAGTCAAGCATCATTTTATTTAACGCATAAGTGTTTTCACATCATGAAACACTTTACGACTTTATTTTGAGAGAGAAAAAGAGCTTGCCTGTTTCTTGCCCCAACCCTGGTTTATATTCTGTTATTTTATTTTATCGTGGTAAGAACACTTAACACGAGATCTACCCTCTTAACACACTTTTAAGTGCACAACCCGGTTTTGTTGAGATCTCTAGATCAAGCAGTGTGTGGAGTTGGAAGTGTAACCACGCCTCTGGTGTGGGATGTGTGCGGCATCCCAGAGGGAGATCTGGGCCGAGGGCAGGGCTGTAGGATGAGCGGAGCCGGGGAGAGGATGGCGCTGCCCCGTGAGCAGGGAGGGGGGAAGGGCCACGCGCTCCGGCCACCGCGTGGAGGAGCTCAGCGAGAAGGGCTTTCCTGCCCACACGGAAGGTGCGAAACAATGGGGCCATATTGTGAGCGCAAAGTCATTACCCAGCTGAGCACACGGCACTTCTCCAACTTTATTGTGCCCACTGCTCATCTGGGAAATCCCCCCAAAAATGCAGATTCTGTCTCAGGGGTTTATCAGTCCGCTCACGCTGCCGTGACGGCAGTCCGGAGGCTGGACGTCCAGGACTGAGGGGCCGCGGGGCCGGCTTCTGGGGAGCCCTCTCTCCTTGGCCTGCCAACTGCACATTCTCACTGCCCCCCACAAGGCCTCTCTATGCGTGCTTGGTGTGCAAGATACACACACACACGCAGCAGGGGGGCACTGAGAGGTGTCTGGTCGTCGTCTTCGTAAGGCCACCGTCCTTTTGCATTAGGGTCCCACACTCAGGACCTTATTTGAACTTAACGCCCGCCTGACAGGCCCTATTGTGTCACTTGGGGGCCAGGGTCTCAACATACGAATTTTGGAGGACAAGCCCATCCCAGCAGTAGCCTGGGGTGGGGGCCTGAGACGCTGCGGGGCCGCAAAGGCCCCGGGGGTACGACACAGCCGAGCAGCAGGGAGAGAGGAACTGTCCCCGAGGGCGACATGCGGGCCGTCTGCACACGGCCCGGGGACCTGGTCGCCGTGCGGACTCCGGGGCCGCCCAGGTGGCCCGGCTCAGAAGCTCCAGTGGTCCTGGCACACCTTTCCCCCTCACCCTGCCTCCGCTTCCGAACAACCCGTTCCCGTCAGGACTTCCTCCAGCTGAACAGGACCCGGAGACCTGGTTCCAGAAGAAACTGGTTCTGAAAGTGGGGGTCTGGGACGAACCCCGGCCGGGGGCACACGGCACACCTGAAGCCCCGCTCCCCCCACCGGAGGGTCGGGGGCTCGCTGGCCCCCGCATGGCCGCTGTCCCTGCTGCCGGGGAGAGGCAGCTGTCGTGGAAACCGCAGCCCCGGCTGGAGGCGGGGCCGATGAAAGAGCTGCTGAGACTGGAGTTTTCTAGGCCCTGCAAAGGCGTATAGGGGCGAGTTCAAACAATGCCTCAGAACATAATCTACCCCCTTTCGAACAGAAGGGTAAATATACCCCGTCCACCATGAGTCTATCCACAATTGCAAGTTCTCTGCAGGGCAGACACCACGCGAGCTCCCAGCCTACTGAGTTTTTCTCATTATTTAAACTCAGCTGGCGGATAACAAAGACGTGAGCGAGACGAGGTGAGACTTCCGGACGGTGGCAGGGAACGAGGAAATCACAGTGAGCGGCGCCGACTGTAGGGGTCGGGGGCGTCCCATGACGGTGAGCTGGGCGTGAGGCCACGGGGCTGTCCACCAGCTGGCCGCCGTCCTCAGCAGCCCGCTCCCAAGAGCGCCCCCGTCTGTGCATCTCATGCATATGTGAGTGAATGGGTAGGTTATGTTTGCTTGAAACTGGCTTCGAGGTGTACAGTCAGATATATGTGTGTCCTGCCTTTTCCACTGAACATGTTATTGTGACATTGCAGGATCTGTTTTAGGAGGAAAGAGTCTTTGATTTGATGACCTCATGTGCCGTTGGGATTGCAAGTTAATACCTTTGTGCACCAAACTGCAGTATTACGCTTTTCAACTTGGTAGGTCCGAAGTGATACCTCTGTTTTGGGGTTGGGCTTCCGTTTCTGTATTAAATACCTCTTTCATGTTACTTGCACATGCAAACGTCTCAGACATTCACAATCTGCCTGTGTTTCTGCTCTGATGTTTAGCTTCTCTTCTGACTTGACTCTTTATGTATTGACGTGACTGACCATCCTCTTCTTTGACATATTTCACTTGGGGTGGCCACTGAAGTCTTGCTTATGGTGGGGATACCCCCTGCCCAGCTCCCCCTGCACATATTTTCAATGTTTGTGGAGTCAGATGTAAACATTTGTTGTTTCATGTTCATTGACTTTGTGTCATGTTTAGTAAGTCCTTCTTCATCCTGTAACTTCAAAAGTATTCTCTCTGGTTTTCGTGCCATGTCTGTGAGGTGGAGGCCGTGAGCCCCCTACCCCACCCCTCCCTGTGCTTTACCTGCTCGGAACTCCAGGGCCCAAGCATCCGGTGGGGGAGCCGTGACTCCCACGGACTGGTCTGAACTGAGAGGTGCCATGCAAGGTGCTTCCAGGACAGAGGATGAGAAAATGATGTAAAACATCTCATTAACAAATTTTATATTGATCACTTGTTGAAATGCTCATTTTTTTGATGTGTGGAATTAAGTGAAATGTATTACTAACATAAAATCCATTCCCTTCCTTTAATAGCTAGAAGTAAATAAGGACAGCGAATCATAATAGCTAACAGAAAACAAGTGGCTAAGAGGAAACAAGATTGTGGACATGGCTCCTACAGCGTTGCCCTAGCGACCTTGAAGATGGCCTCGGGTGCTACAGGAAGGACTTGGGGCCAATTTAAATAAATAGGAAAGATGCTTAGATGGCAGAAACCTTCCTGACTGGAGTCTCTTAGTCCTTGAGAAGTAGCTTGAATGTCAACATCTGGCCCCGTTGCCAGATAAAACCTCAGTTCAACAACCCACCATGGAATTTTTCCCTGTTTAATGAGCTAAATGCTCTACTGGAATCCAAGCAATGTATATGTTCCCATCCAACTCAGGAAGGGACCCGCTTTCTCAGAAAAAGCACAAACCAGCCAGTGTTCTGCAGACCTCTCTTTCCAAGCCTTACAAATATTAGATACTAGCCATCTGTTTTGCTGATCGTGTCCCCATCCATCATTCATCAGTCCCCCGATCTTCTGGGGTGAAAATGCTGCCCCCTCGTTTTCTGGGTTCCCATCCTGAGGATCTGTCAGGCATCCTGGTGTGTAGAGAGGAGTTGTGTGTGCAGACATTTCACGCTGTGACAAACAGTGCCAGCCCACTCCCATTGACCAACAGTCTGTGATACATTCAGAGCAGAACTTTAAAATAAATGAAAAGAATTGAGTTAAAAAAAATTTAATAACAGCTTCATGGAGATGTCATTCACACGCTCTACAACTGACTCACTTCAAGTGTGTGATTCAGTGGTTTGTGATATATTCACATTTGTGCGACCATCACTACAATCCATTTTAGAACCTTTTATCATTCTGAAAAGAAATCCTGCGCCCAGTGTCAGCCCCCATTTCCTCTCTACTCCCCCCAGCCCTGGGTCACGTACTAATCTATGCTCCACCCTAGATTTTCCTATTCTGAATTGTACAGATGTATGGCTTTCTGTGTGTAGCTCCTTTCTCTTAATGTTTTGGAGTTCATTCGCATTGTAACGCATTATCGGTACTGAATTCCTCTTTCTGGCTGAATAATATTCCCTTGTTTGGATATGCCACCTTTTATTTATTTGTTAGTGGGTGGACATTTGGGCTGTTTTCATTTCTTGGCTGTTGCAAATAATGCTGCTGTGAACATTTATGTTCAGGTTTTTGTGTGGATATGTTCACTTCCCTGGGGTGCACACCTGGCAGCAGTCTTGCTGGGTCATATGGTAGCTCTATATTTAAACTTTTGAGGGACTGCCAGACTGTTTTCCAAAGCAGCTAGCTGCACCATTTTTTATCCCCACCAGCATTTACAAGGTTTCCAATTTCCTCACCCACAGCCTTGCCAACACTTGCCGTAATTTGTCTTTTTTATTATAGACATCCCAGTGGGTATACAGCAGCATCTCACGGTGGTTGTGATTTGAATTTTCTTAGTGGCCAAGTATCTTGAACATCATTTCAAGTGCTTATTGGCTATTAGTGTATCTTCCTTATGAAAATGTCCACTGAGAACCTTGTATATATGCATCCATTTTGGGTAAGACTGGTCTGGTCTTCCTGTGACAGATTGAATTCCGTGGATATATGGGTGCAGTGGAATCAGAGAAAATAGAGACGGCGTAAGAGTGATGTAGGTGGTAACTGGAGGAATCGTGCCAAAACCAATCCAGCTCAGAAAGCTGTCAGTGGTTAAGGATACACCGTAGGAAGATCACTCTGGCCTCAGGGAAGGAGGCAGGAAGGGAAGCAGTGAGATTAGCAGGGGAGCTGGCCACAGCCGCTAGCATGCACAGATATGATTCTTCCAACATACTTTTATTGATTTATTTACAAATGACATACACAGAAAAATGTTATGTATAAAATAAAACTTGGACATTTTCCAGAAAAGATATTTTTAAGTGGCTTTTTTGAAACCGTGCTGTGGAGTTCGGCCAACATGAGGGCAGGGCTTTAGGAGAGGGTGGGGAGGATGTGGGAGGAGTCGATCAGGAGTGCGTGGAGGCAGAAGGTGTATTTTGGAGAGAAATTTGATCTGATGTGTGACAGTCAGTTTTCCACTGTTGATGTGATCCATTGTGAGGTGAGAGCAGTGGAGATGGAAATGCCAAGCCCTGTACTGCATGGAGTGTCTGCAGCTCCATGGGAGGCCTGGGCTGTGCACTGAGGTGCTGGGGTCAAGGAGAAGCAAGCTAAGAGACCAGGGAGCGGAGGAGACAGCAGCGAGAAGAATCGCGGACAGCCCACCCAAGGTCCGGAAGATGTCCGTCTGCTAGCGGCCCCTCCCAGCCTCGGTGTGTGGCCGCCTGGGAGTCTGGGACCTACCCACGATTCTGCAGTAGCTTGCCCACCTGTTGAAGCTGGCCACAGCTGGCTTCTGTTGGAGCACGAATCCTCACTCGAGCAGAGGCTCCCTGCCTCCCCTTTCCTAGCACCATCCCAACATATTTTAATGTACACAAAAACCATCCTGTAAGTGCTGATGGAGGAGACCGCAGCCTTGAGCCCTTCCTCCTCTCTGCCTCCAGGGCCCCGAGCCGCTCTGACCCGCAGATTCGAGCTCCAACTGGTGGTGCCATGGAAACAGAGGCTGCAGAGAACAACATTTCTAGGCTCTGCGGTCAATCGCCTGCGGGTTCCAGAACCCCGCCTAGCCGACCGCGGTGGTAGACTGGAGTCTGCAGAGGGAGGGTGTGTTTGTCCCCCAACTCCCACTGCACCCCAGCTTGCTGTGCCATAAGAACAATCCCCTCATCATGGAACACAGATTTATGAAGTTGAAATTTTAAAAATATCCTTTGGATTTGTTGAGGTATAATTAACACAGAGTGCGATTTCCCCATTTTTAGTGTGCAGTTTGATACATGTTAGTGATGGTACAGTCATATAACAAACATCATAACTGCAATACAGAACATTTAATTACACCCTGCACCCCTTTGCCTGAGGCCCCCCTCTACTGCCCCCCTCACCCAGCAACCTCTGATTTGCTCTCGGCCGCTGTAGATTTATTTGCCTTTCTGGAATTTCATGTATGTGGTGTCATCCCCTATTATGTGTTTGACCTTTCCTTAACTAGGAATCATGTTTTCAAGATCCATCCAGATAGTTACATGTATCAACGTTCTGTTCAGTAATATTGTTAGATAACTAACCTTTCCTCCTTATGGCTCAGTCGTGCTCCATGATGTGGACAGACCACGAATTATTTATCTATTTTCCTGGTAATGGATCCATCTGTGGGCTGCTTCCAATGTGCAGCTGTCATAAATAATGCTGTCAACATCCAGCTTTTCCACCAGTGTTTCAAGATTTCTCCCAGGTATTTGCAGACCTAAACCATTGTACGCTTTTGTTTTCATTCTTGGCAATTGGAAAGAGATTCGCCCCCTTTTGGTTTGGCTGCCCAGTTTTTGAATGACAAACAAGATGGACCGTCTGTCATCTTTCTTTGCATTTGGCTTTCTGTGCTGGGCCCGGATCCGGGAGCCCTTCCCTTTTTGACATTCGTCTTTTTCTCACGGACTCATAGTCACAAACTGTAGGTGACTGTGTGGACTGCATGCACAGCGTGGACATTTCTCCCAGTGTGCATGTCTCCCTGCTCTACGTAGACATATTCAGTGGGTCTGGAGTCCCGCTTGTGATGAGGTGGGAACGCAGAGACCCCCCGGGCCCGGCCCCCAGCCTTGGTGCTACCTCCCTTCCCAGGGGGGGCCCCCAGCTCCCGGGGCTCCAGGAGGATGTGGGTCAGGAGGGAATGACGCTTCTGGCTGGATACGCACGGCCCCTGAGAAGAAGTGATTGGAATGTCAACTTCCAGATAACACTTCAGTTCAGCAACCAGCACGGATTTCCTCTCTGACTCGTGAGCAGAATGCCCGGCTGGGATCCAGGCAGTGGGGGAGGTTGCCATCCCAACCCAGGAAGGGCATGGTTTTCTCAGAAATAGCACAGGCTGGCCAATGCCTTAGAGACTTTCATTTCCAAATCATAAAAAACACCGGGTTCTGGTTGCTCCTGATTTTGTTGTTAGCATTTGGGGTGTTTCCTTGGGGTGACGGGCAATGGAAATACTTCCTCTTCGTTATTTTCTGGTTCCATTGATGTTCAGTTCTGATTCCAGCCTAATCTTGAATATGCTTCTGTATTCTGAATTCTATAATTCCATTTCTGTAATGAGTTCAGTTCAAAGCCAAATCAATGGAAGAACCGATTGTTATTGCCTTGGCTGACCACGTCTGTGCGAATGAAGCTCACCCACACCCCTCCCCTCACAGGGCTTGCCTGCATTGTTGTATCACGATTACACAGAGCATTGTAACTCATGCCTACTTTGCATAATCGCTAATAACTAGGTGGAAACACAGCCTCACAGCAAATAGTTCCTTACTTCCTGTTATGGGTCGAATCGTCTGCCCCCGAATTCCTACGTTGGTGTCCTAACTCCCAGCACCCAGAGCGTAAGCTTACTTGGAGATACCTCTTCGCCGAGGTGGCCGGGGTAAAATGAGGTTAGGGTGGCCCGCCTTCACCCAAACTGAGTGGGTCCTTGTCGGAAGAGATTTGGGCGCACCCAGGGACATCACGTGAGGATGCAAGGAAAGGAGCACCGGACAGGCCACCGGCCTGGGGCGCTTTGTCAGGACAGCGCTCTCAAGTCTACACACATCACACATCCCCAGCCGGGGGCCCCGGCCCCTCGTGCGTAGAAACCCGGGAGCTTAGAGTGCTTTCGGATCTGAATCAGGAACTGGAACCTTTACCTAAAGAGCGCAGTGAAACCATCAACATGTTCTGACCTGAGAAGTGGACACAGGCGTCTTGTCTTTGAAGGACGTACATTGGCACCAGTCTGGGTTAAAAGCCGGGGTTGGTGAGAATTACCAAGTCACTATGATGTACGTTCGAAACCAGTGTGATATTGTATATCAAATATGTTGCCAAAAAATATATCGAAGAGAAAAAAATGGTTATAATTTTTTTTTAAAGCTGAGATGAGCGGATGGAGCAGTGGGTCCCAGGAAGAGGCGACTGTTTGCCGAGTCGCAGGAGAGGACGGAGGCCTGGCCGAGAGGCAGCGGTGGGTGGGGGGCGCGCCACAGGGCTGGGGCGGCGGCTGTGTATGGGTGAGGCCGGGAGGGGTTCTCCAATGCGGGCAGCATCCACCACCAGCCGACCTGGAGGGGGGTTTTCCTCGAGATCGTGGGTGGGCCTCACCCGAGAAGTTGACGGGCGTGCTGAGCCAAGGCTGAGGCTCTCCTGGCGGGGCAGGACTCCTGCCTCTGGTCTGCAGCATCTGCTCCTGAGCCTGCGGCCCGCCGCCAGGTCCCAGACTCGCCAGACCCCACCGTCACATGAGCCGACTTCTAAGACCAGGCCCTTCAAAGAAACCGGAGCACCCATTCAGATAAACACAGATGCGTCTGTATGGCCGTGCATATCTTAGCCACGGCTGCACCTGCTACACACACAGACATACATGCAGAGCTGTCCTACCTGTACCAGGTACTAAGCTGCCCCCACAAAGCACCACGAGAAATTTATTTTCTTGCTGTTCAGGGACTGCAGGTCAGAGGTTAAGGTGTGTGCAGGGCAGATTTTTCTCCTGAGGCCTCTGTCCTCGGCGTGTGGGCATGGTCGTCCCTCTATGAGTGTCTGTGTCTAAATTTCCTTTTTTTACAAGGACACCAGTCACACTGGGTCAGGGCCCACCCAGATGGCCTCATTTTACCTGAGTGACCTCTTTAAAGGTGCTGCCTCCAAATACAGTCCTATTCTGAGGTTCTGGGGGTTAGGACCCCAACATTTGAGTTTCGGGGACACCACTGACCACGTGGTTCTGTTTCTCTGCTGGACTCTGACTGATACCCGACTACACAGTGTTTCTGCCTTAGGGAACTGGGGTGGCAGCCTCTCTCCCTGAGAAAGGGAAGGATTTGAAAGTATAATAAGCATAATAGGTCAACAGAGACCTCCTGGAAAGCAGGAAGAGCCTGGGGCTGCCTGTGTCTTTCTAGCATTTCACTCCTGCAAGGATCTGCGCCTCATTAGTTCCCTGGAAAGAAGCTGCTAGGTCAAAGCGGACAAAAGGCCCTCGTGATTTGCTTGTGCCCCGAATTTTATCGTGAGTCAGGTGGCTTTGCCCCAGTGCCTGCTTCCATGGTTCTGCATCTAGGCATGTCTGCTGCACACACAGGCCTCTATTTACTCAAAATCAAGGCCACCTGTTTCTGCGGTTTGTCATCCAACTTTCCGCATGTGAAATTCCCTCATGATGCATTTTCAGAGGGAGTTTGTTTTTATCTTTTAATTACATCAGCATCAAGTTCCCATTATACATGCCACGTTTGTGCCTCCAGTCTCATTTCTGATCCTCTTGTCTCTCAGACATGCCGGGAGAGCCCTTCTGTCTGCATCTTTGTGCCCTTGGGCTGCAAGAGTCAGCCTGTCGGGTTGGATTAATGGGATGCCCAAAGCAGACATTACAGTGTCGGTGACCTATAGGAGGGTCACACAGACTGCCGGGGAAGAGAAAGGGTGGGTGGGAGGTGAGTGTGACCCAAGAGGCAGATGGGGAGGGGGTGTGAGGGGCATCCAGGAATCTGGGGTGCAGGGCGGGCCAGCACAGGGCAGGGAGGCGGCCAGAAGGCAATGAAGGAAGAGGCCAGGATTTTAAATGGGGACAGAAGATGAGAGTCAAATGGGAGCCAAATGGCGATGTTCCTGCCCCTGGGGTGAAGGTGTGGGATGTTACCCAGGGGCCCGGTGAAGCCCGGCCCAGGGACCCAGAGAGAGTTGGGGGCTGCAGGTTTGCCTCCCACCAGGAACAGTTTGCAGATATTGTTGCCTGTATATCCATTTCTAAAGCACAGATGTTTTCCTGGGCAATCATTTTCCTGGTAACTGCTTTTCTCTGTGGGAAGGGCTGGTAGTCCTACATAGTTATTTCTAAGCAAGTGGCTGCTTTACCTAGAAGGGCCACCACAGGCGTGGCATCTAGTAAGTGCTCAGTAGACACTCACCACCTGAATTCTGCAGTACACCCCCAGCACGCTGAGCAACATGAAGGGCCCGTGTCCACATGTGCTCACACATGGCACACGCAGGTGCGTGTGCACGTGGCCTCTCCACGCTCACACAGGCCTGTAGGCATCGCAGACCCCGATGGTTCAGGGCTTAGAACTGTGCGAGCTGACCCACCTGAGGAGAAGCCCTGGGGACCTTCTCCCCTGCCAGGCCCCCTCTGGCTCCGCCGCTAGAGAAATGCCGAAGCTGCCACTTGCAGTTGGTCCCGGCATGAAGTGGGGTTTCATCTGAAAAATCCAAAAGGCTGCAGGGGCTTGAGTCAGAGAGGAACAAGGCCGTTTCCAACTTGGGGCGGGAGGCAGAATGAGGCATTACTGCAGGAAACGAGAAAGACACGGTTGATCAGTCATGAAACATGGAGTGTTTGGGGCAGATGTGGCAGGACTGGGGGGCTGATGCAGAAAAGGCAGGTTGGGTGGACGTCCTCATGGCCAGGGTGCTGTCCGTGGGGCGAGAATGATGCGTACCTGTAAACACGAGGCTGGTGCCTCCAGGTGGAGAGGCGGATGCTGACGTCCCTGCCTCCCTCCGCAAGCCCTGACTGGCTCCCCGGCCCACCTTTGCTGCTTGGCGCCGGTACCCCACTGCCTCTGCCTGGACATCTGCATCCTCACTGCTCTCTGCCCTGCGCACCCCACACTTGGACTTTGTCCTGCTCATCCAGACATAGTTCAGCGTGATCCGTGCCAAGGTGAGCACCCCCTCTGCACAGGTGCATTAGCTTGTCTGTTTCTGAGAGCCCAGGGTGCCGTCTTGGGGGGGCTTCCTGTCCACGTATACCTGCTAACACTTCACCACGGACACCCCTTTCCTATTCACACTGCGTCCAGACCGTCCTGTAGCCACCGGAGCCAGGCACTGCCTGCGCCCCACAAGGCAAAGAGAGTATTTGAGTAATCACACAGGGTGAAATGTCTCAACTCCATGTATGTGGAACATACAGGTAATGGGGGAAAATACCACCAAAAAAAAAAACAGAAGCTGGCAAAAACAGATGCAACAGAGTCAGAAGTGATGGGATTCGTATACAGAGTGCAAACGTGTGCAAAAAATAAAATGAAGACCCAAGGCGGAGAGTGATCAAAGCGTGGGATGAGCTGCTAAGAGAAAATGCAAATGATAACGAAATACTAAAAGGGGGCCCACTGCCTGCAGAGCAGGGCAAACATGGCAGGGGAGGCCGAGAAGGGCAGGAAGAGGCAGGGGCCGTGAACACACTGCCCAGGGCGGCGGGGTCCCCGCGGGCGGGCGCAGCTGCTCTGATCCGTATTTTAGCGCTGAGTTTGAATGCCCTTGACCAAACAGTTCGCCGCCTGGGAACTGGCCTTCAGCTGAAAAGAGCACACGAACAGGGCCCGCGAGAGCAGGGAAGCCCAGGGCAGGCGGCTCTCCATGGAGAATCCCTGCCCGGCAGGGCGCCCAGAAGATGGGCACAGAGGGGACAGGGGAGCCGGGGCGCCCCTGGGCACACTGGGGCTGCACGCCCTGAGATCAGGGCCCTCCCGGGCCACCCTGCCTCTCCCACCCCGGGGGGTGTCCGGCAATGCCTGGGCCTTCTTGGCTGCCCAGCATCGGGGATGTTGCCACAGCGCACAGGACAGCCCCCCACCCAGAAAAGGAGTCACTGGCCCCAAATGTCAGCTGTGCTGACAGTTCCGCTCCTGGGTGTGGACTCGGGCCCGGGCAGAATGCACCCTCTGCAGTGTTTACACGCCGTCCCCACGCCAGGCACAGCACTGGGGACAGGCCATTCATGCAGGTAAGGGGAAGACACCACAAAACATGGGGACAGGGAAACAATTTAAACGTCTGCCAAAACGAGAATGGATAAATAGATCATGGCTCTTGGAAACAACGGAATTCAACATGGCACACTGAAGAATGAGGGTTCCGCGCACGCTTAGGTAGAGCGCAGTAGATGGAAGCAGGTTGCCTCATGCACCAGCCCAGCAGCCTCCCACCTCCGGCCCCAGCCAGGCTGCTGCCTCTGCACCTGTGGCTGTGGGCGGGCGACCTCTGCCCCCAGCTCACATCTCAGCGCTGTGCTTTGAGTTCCCATGACAACCCAGTTACTGGGCAGCACTGAAGGAGGGCAGGAGTGACCGTGGCCAAAGGTCGACATACTGGTTTCAACCCCACAGGGAGAAGGGAAATTTCCCAAGACATCTGTGGACTGAGGTGGGGGCAGGGGGGGCATAGCTATTCATTCTTGCAACAAACTTTTATTACCCACCTAGGGCATGCTCGCCTGGCATTTTGAACACCCCCACCGCCAGGACACACATACTCTGATGTCAGACTCTGGAAATTTCCAGTCCCAGTGAGGCCCTCCCCAGCTCCTCTCCGACTGCAGTTGCCATGGCAGCAGCCTGAGCCCCTGAGGCCTGGAACAGGTAATCTCTTTGTGAGGGGGCAGCAGGTGGGTGCTCGCCCCGGCTGCCATCGTCCAGCTGTGGGCTGTGCAGGACTCTTGTGCCCCTTAAAATACATCCTTGGATGGGAGCTTTGCCAACCCTCACAAGATCGGGTGTGATTTTGTGTTGGAAAACACGCACGTCTTTTAAGCACGAGTGACATCAGCACTATGCTTCCTTCTACATGAGCATTTATTTGCTCATTCGGTAAATACAGATTCGCTGTTCTGGGAGCTGGTGATACAAGAAACAGAAAAGTCACACTCTTTGCTCTGAGAGCTGAGCTATGAGCCACGTTTATTCCTTCAAACGAGTTTTTTTAGATTCAGCCAAAATTTAAGGACAGACCCTCACATGCCAGGCGTCCTGCAAGGCACGGGGGACAGGAAGAAAGTAAAGGAGCGTCAGAATTCTTGTGCTCCTCGGGCTTGTGGTCCAGTGGCCGAGAGAGACATAAACCCACACCCATGCTTGTTCTCAGTTCTGAGCAGAATGCCTGGCAGGAGGGTAGGGTTTTCAGACCTTTTGGGGGGGTAACACAAATGGACAATTCTGTTCCGCTCAGAATTGAGAGTCTGGTGCTCTGATTCAGGTAACATGACGTCGTAGCACCATTTCCTTTCCCGACAGATGGGCGAGTGGCTGGATGTTGGGCAGAGTGGAACGTCTGAGTCGGGGGGAGCTGGTGGCCCTCAGTTTTCTGCTTCCCACCAGAAAGCTTGGTGGGTATTTGTATAATTGGGAGGGAGAAGGGCTCTGTCAGCACAACTTGAGTACTCACAACCATGAAAAGGAAACGGTGAATTAATCGGACTCTGGGAGAGCTGAAAAAGCAGGTACAGAAGGAAAAAATGTAAACTAAAGTCAAAGTGTGTAAAAGTATATGCCCTGTACTGAGAATCAAAAAATCATCTTTTCCATGTCAGTTGTGTTTCCAAGAAGTGAATTTGAAGTATGGGAGATGAACTTCAAAATATATCTATGGATGAAAAAGCTTTAAAAGAGAAATTTAAATGTCCAAAAATACAAAATGACATCCCAACTTCTTTGCACTCCAAAAAAAGAGAATGGATGTGAAAACCAAACCACAAATCGTTTTTCCCAGTGTCAGATGGACAGAGATGGAAATGCAGGCAAGTAGGGTGGGCCACAGTGTGGGAGACGGGTGCCTCTCTACGTTCCCGGGGAGAGGGCGGCGTGCTGCGAGCCTCTGGCAGGTGCTCTTGGCGATGGGCCTCAGTATGCATCTGCGTGTGCCCTTTGACCCTGCAGATCCGCTCGGGAGCCCCACCCCCACCCCCGTGACTTCGACAGCACACACACCCACACGGGGGTGAAGGCGTCCTTCTGGGGGCGTGATTGACTGGCAGTGCATAGTAGGCCTGGACTCAGGTGTGATGGGATTTCACAGTCCAGAGACGTCAATTCTCTGCTTGATAAAGAGACTGCTTTTGTAAAGGGTATATAATGTTACGATTCATGCTAAATCAGTAAGAACTGGATTAAAAACTCATATACTCATTATTACCAAAATCCGAGCAAATAGAACCCATTTCCTTGACCATGTATTCGCCTTCTAGGAGCGTCTAGTGAGCACCTGCTATGCACCAGATGCTCCATCGCAGGAGGTGAGGACGCAGCAGAGACGGAGCTTAGAGAATGTGTCGGCTCTCAGGGTGCATGCACATCGGTGGGTGACAGGACTGTTTTGGGGAGCGGAGCAGCCTGACAATGCGTGGAACAGGTGGCCGTGTGCGTTTCCCACCCCTCAGAAAACCCCATTGAGATTTACCCCTTAGGAGAAATTCTCGCACGTGTGGCAAGGGGACACGTTCAAGAATGTTCTTGGCGACGTTCATTCATTTGACAAGGCTTGGGGCCCCGCTCTGGGGCCGGGGACAGCCGGGCCGCGGCCCGTGGTAGTGGGGGGTGCAGATACCATGCGGACATCCGCTAGCCGCAGGACGGGCAGGCGAACTGGCCCCGTCCGGGCAGTGGGATGGGGGGCAGCCGCCGCAAAAGTGGGGCGGAGGGAACCCGTCAAGCCGCAGAACGGCCGCCCGACATGAGAGCCCCCCGCCGTCGGCCCAGCTCTCCGGGAGTCGCTCTCCTCTCTGTTCGCCGCTCTCACTGGCGTCATTTCGGACCCGGAGAACAACATCGCGGGACACGGAAGGTGGGCTCAGAGGTGCGGTTCTCCTGGGAGCCCCCCGAGGCGGACGGGCACAGAGCGGCGCCCTTTCTCAGCAGACTTGCTCTCTGCCCCCAGCGCCGTGGAGCCCCCAGGCTGGAAGTGTCCAGGATCCTTAGCCCCCCACGCAGGCCCCTCCCCCTGCGCCCCGCCGGCTGTTGTTTCCGTGGCAATGGCCGAGCCGCCTCCGCCTTGCACCCCCAGTGACAGCTCTCTCTGAGGGAAAACAGGACGAGCAAGCACCCCCGACAGAGACCGAGCCCCCAACAAATGGTGCCCGAGAACACGCCCAGCGGAGGGGCCCGAGGTGGCGGCGGCGGAGGCCCCTCCGCTGGGCGTGTTCTCGGGCACCATTTGTTGGGTACCCGCCGTGCCCCGCACGTTCCCGAAGCCAGTGACGAGAGGGAACCAGCCACCCCAAGACCCTCGCGCCCCAGAGGTCCACCCATGTGAAGCGGTCTCATCAGTCGGCAAACAGGTTCCGCCCCCGGGGCGGGACGGGCCAGTGACGCCCTGCTTCCCGGCCCGTCGGGTGTGGTCATGGCGGCGGCCCGAAGAACACGGGAAACCCCACGCGACCCGAATGGCGAAGAGAAAGAGCTTGGGACAGGGGGACAGGGGGCTGGGGCTGGGGGAGGCTGCGGGCTGCGAGCGCCGGGGGCACCGAGCAGGCGGGTGAGGGCGGGAGTGAGCAGGTGTGAGGGGACAGCGCACGGGCGGCCCAGCCCGAGGGACAGAGGCCGGGGGCGGGGGACTTGCTGGCACATTCCAGGGGCTGACAGAGGCGTGCGGGGAGTCCGCAGTGGAGGAAGGTCGGGGCCGAATGGATGTTATTGATCAGCCCCTGGGGATGTTAATAAAGAGGGTGACATTTGTATTAAGTTCTATTAACACTCCATCCCAGAGGGCTGGTTCCCCCCCTGCAGCTGAGGCCCCGGGGCCCCGAGAGGAGGACGGGGGCTAATGTGGGTCAGGCTTGCGGTCTAAGCGCCCGTGCCTTCCCAACAAGCCCGCACAGCCTGCTTCCTCGCCTGGTCCAAGGGCCCTCGTGGGCAGCACTTTGGTTTTATTAATTAGCCATTGGAAGTATTAATTTCCTTGTACCCACTTAAGCTTCCTTTCCTTGCCGAGGAACTGCACAGGGGCAGGGAGCTGGGGTCAGGTGGGCTGCACTGCCCGAGGGCCGTAACCCGGACCCGGGGGTGAGAGGGCCACGGAGAAGCAGACCAAGGTCTCCCTGCAGGCTGCGCACCTCGGCCTGAGGCTGTCCGCCCCCCACCCCCCACCCCGCAGGGTCTGTGGAGGCCGTGGTCCCAGGGGCCAGCGCCTCCTGGCACCCGGCTGGCCTCAGGAGCCGTGTCATGGGGGTGGGGGAGATCTCAGCCGGGCAGAGGGCTTCAGGGTCCCGCAGGAGGCCTAGGAGCCAGGCTCACGGCCGGGACTGGCCAGGGGACCGGCCTGCAGGGAGCACGGCACCGCTGCCCAGGGATGGGTCCCGGCGGGCCTCTCTGCCCTGCTGCCTCAGGGAAGGAGCTTTCCCTGCCTGGTGTCTCTGCTGTCCCACCGCGGGGCGCTCTGAGCACAGAGAAAGGAGCCATGAAGTGGGAAGAAAGCGAGAGAAATTAAGAGAAAGTAAGATTCTTTTTCGGTATGTCTGTGTATGAATTCACAAGTATCGGAAAGCAAGGCCACAAAAGCACAGAGACTTTACTCCCTTATTATGTCTCAAGTATTATACACGTAATTGCTATAACTGATTTTTACTTTAATCCCAAGAATTTTGGAAGTGGGTGGTAAATGCTGGACACCCGCCAGGCCCCAGTAAAGCCACGTGGCACCCGAACGAAAGCCATTAGAAAATCAGTCAAGACTGTAACCCCAGGAAAGTAGAAACTCATTTGCAACTGACTCCAGAGGTGTCATCTACAAAACAGATGAGTCTCAGATATGCTTATGGTGTAGGAACAAACATCTCCAGAATACTGGCCACATTTTACTGTTCCCGAGAAAGCCAGGCCCTTCCCGAGACAGGAGGCACCAAGAGAGAGAGTGGCCTCCAGCACGGCACTTAGCTCGTTGGGCAGGGGCAGGGCCGAGGTGGTTGATTTATCGGGCACTTGGTCTGAACAGACATTCTTCAAGCCTCATCCAAAGGGCCTTGACATTCCAGGAGGGACTTCTCCCCACGTGAACCGCCTTTTCAGCCTAATTCCGGCTGGGATCCTCCGTGAGCCGCTGGAGCCGGGACCTGGTTAAGGGGCAGAGTCACTCTAGGGCCCGGCCTTCCTCGGCTCACACGGGACTCCCCATGTCCCCGTGCTTACTGTCAGGGGTGTGGAGGGGTGTGTGAACAGGTCACAAAAGCACGCCAGCGTGAGAGAGAAGATACCTAAATCTGACCACTTAAAACCATCAGGATGCCACCTCACGCCCACTAGGATGGCTACTATACACACAATAATAATAATAAATAAATAAGAGTAGGTGCGGGTGTGTGGAACTGGGACGGTTGTGCACATTTGGTGGGAGTGTAAAATAGTGCAGCTGTGTGGAAAACAGCCCCTCACCAGAATTACTAGTAGAAGTACCATATGACCAGCAATCCCACCTTGGGGTGCACGCCCAAGAGAACTGCAAGCAGGGCCTCAAGAGAGATTTGCACACCCACGTGGGCTGCAGCAGGGTCACAGTGGCCAGTGGGGGAAGCAGCCCAAGAGCCCTCCAGGGGCGATGGAATACCATTCAGCCCTAAAAAGAAAGGACATTCTGGCACCTGCTACCACATGGATGGACCTCGAGGACATGATGCTCAGCGACATGAGCCAGTCACCAGGGGACCAGTTCTGTGATATTCCACTCCCATGAGGTCCCCGCAATTGTCAGGTTCATGGAGCCAGAGGGTGGGGTGGCGGGCCCCGGGGAGAGGTGGGGCCTTAGTGTTTAACGGGGGCAGAGTTTCAGTTCTGCAGGTGGAAGAGAGGCCAGGAGGTGGGTGGCGATGGCTGCCCAGCAGAGTGAGTGTACTTAATGCTGCTGACCTGGGCACCTAAAAATGGGTAAGATGGTAAATCTGATGTTGTGCGTATTTTACCACAGTTTTAAAAAATAGTGAGTAGGCTCATTTCTGGGGCAGGCATGTGTGGACACAGCCTCAGGTGGGTATTTCCGGCCACCTGGACCCAAGTTTAAAATCTGTGTGCCCTCTGGGCAGTCCCTCCTCTGGGACTCACAGCAGCACCGATGCCCCTGCGGTCAGGGCAGCGATGAACTGAAGTAAGTGATGCTGCAGCCTGGCCAACAGAGGAAAGCTCTCCCATCTGACCCCTGGCTGTCGGAGAGTGCCCACCACTCAGTGCGCACTGGGTCCCTAGGTGACTGGGTTCCCAGGCTGCAGGACTCTTGGGGGCCCATCTGGAACACTAACCTGTCTCTCCATTTTATTTTTCGTCATTGTCCAGGAACTGACATCATTCCCTTAGTTACTCACGTTCTGAGTTTCACCCACCAAACTTCATCCAGCAAGGTGTCCTCAGCCAGTGCATTCCCCCCCAGAATCAAATTCCATTTTTGCCTTGCAAAGACAGTTCACAGAGTGGGTGATGTGAGCCGCAAACAAGTTTTGGTCTTTCCACACACTCGCGTTTGCATGGCAGGTGTGCTAGGATGTTCTCAAACCCACAAGGGTTTCCCTGCAGAGCCTGGGCATCTCTGCAGCCCCCTCCTGCCTGCTGGCTACAGCTGTCATGGCAACAGGCTCTGGCCTTTGCCCTGCACACCAGAGGACAGGCCAGCGGTGGACAGCAAGATTAACAAGATTCATTGGCATGGGGAGGGTTCAGAGTCCACTTGGGGCACCAATGTGTCCTTTCCTCCCATTGAATAGCCTCCTGGGGTGTTTGTGGGGGTCACACAATCGGCCCTGCTTGCTTAGACTTTGTTGGTCTCCCACCAGCACCGAGATGCTCTGTGATCCTCCTCTGGGGTGTGGGGATACAGCAGAGGTTTCCAGCTGGGGGCAGTTTGCTCCCCACAGAGGCATCTGGGGATATCCTGGGTGCCACACTGAAGGAGCCCGTGGGTGCCGTTAGCACCTAGTGCATGGAGGCTGCTGGGAGCCACTCGACATGCCCTGGTGCTCAGGAAGGCGGCCCCACCACCACAGGCAGTTATCCTGCCCCTCTGTCAGTAGCGCCATGCTTGAGGAAGCCTGGGATACAGTGGTGCGTGAGCACCAGCCCTGAGAATCCTCACGGCACTTCCGTCCCGAGGGGAGATGGACCATAAAACAGGATCCGTGTGCTCCGACGCAGAATGAAGTGTGTGTGGCGGAGCAGGCCGTCCCCCAAGTTCCCTCTCAGGTTGTGACCGTGGGAAGGGAGCTGAATGGGGCGTCCCAGCAGCGGGTGTGATGTGCACAGAGGCCCTGGTCTGGAAGCACAGTGCGTGCACGTGAGGAAGGACAGGACCAGAGTGGCCGAGCCATTATTCAGAGGCCTGGGGTGGGGGGGGGCAGGGGAAGAGGGGCCTCGTGATGGGGAGAGCTTGGGGACTCAGGGTTCAGGGATTGAAATGTTGCGCTAACTGGACGTCCAGTCTATGCCAGGACACCCAACGTCACCAGGCCATGGAAGCAGGCATGACTTCTGCCTCCCCACAGCCCAGGGACCATGGGAGAGAGAGAGCAGGCACCCAGGGCCCCCTTCAGGAAGAGCCAGTACCTACCTACCCGAGGCTCACGTGTGGGCCGTGCAGCCGATGCCCGGGGCTGGGCCACCTTGACGAGCGTGGTGGCCCAGAAGAGAGGCAGAAATGGACACATTTCAGGAACTGGGGCTCTTCACTGAGACAGAGACTCCTTGTATTTTTAGAATCAAAGCTGGATGGGCTGGCAGCTGCTGCCACACCTCCTTGTCTTCTCAGCACGATCCCTACTGTAAAACGGTGAGCTTCCCTCACCGTCCGTGCGCCGGGCTCCTCACTAAGTGCTTGCTGTCCCGGGACGTGTCCGGGAGGCTGGGCAGTCTGACCCTGCTTCACAGACAAGGCCCCCGGGGTGGAGAAGAGCGGGCCCTCGGCCCTTGTTCTGTCTGGCCACAGAGTGGGCCCCCCGTGGAACCCACCACAACAGGCTCCCCCACCCTCGGGCCGCTCTCCTCATCTGAAAAGTATATAGGGCCCGATCCTCGGGGTGCCTGGGAGCGTCGCACAAGCAAGCAACGGTGCCACACAGCAAACTCAAGAAACAGTCATCAGGAGAAATAATATTCTATGCAATATTCGAAAAAAATGTAGAAAACCCCCATATGAACAAAATTTTTAAAGTTTAAAGAAATCCATATTGGAACCTGAGGCAGAAGGAAAATGCGTTTTGTTCTATCCATATTTCTATGTGTTTTTAAATAATTTAGAAAATACTATTGATGAGTTCACTTCCTTTAAATCCAGGAAAGAAAATCATAAGAAATTGTTTTTTTCTTTTGTATAACTAAAATATTTAAACATAAGACAATGCTGTAAGTTTTAATATACCTACTTTTCGATTTTCAGTTTTTTCCTATGACTTTAATGTTCCGGGGGAAAAAATAACCACTAAAATTTACAAAAAAACATGTCTATAGCTTGCGTTTTCCTTTGTCTCAGGCTTTGGTGTGGTTCAGCACACCCTGGGTTTATTTAGATTTCTGATATTTTGTCCTTTCATCGTGGCTTTTCTATATTTTGCCTTCATTTTGACTTAAAAAAATACTGTTTCTCATGACGACGGAGTCTGAGGAAGCGCAGACCACCTCACCCCCGTCCCAGCTCTGGCTTTGAGGACGTGACCTTTGAGCTGAGATGTGAAGACTGAGGAGGAACCAGTCGTGGGAACTTCGGGGAAAGGAAATTCCTGTGCGAGGGAAGGCAGAGGTCCCGGGGGCGCGTGCTGGGCAGGGCCTGCAGCAGTCAGGCTCACAGACAGAGAGTGGACCGTGGGGGCCAGGCACTGGGGAGGGGACGGGGTTAGAGTCTCCGCTCGGGAAGCTGCTCTGGAGATGATGGTGGGGCCGGCTGCACAACCATGTGAGGCTCTCCGTCGCACAGAACTGCTCGCTTAAAAATGGTTAGAATGGCCACTTTCATAATATGCATTTTATCACAATAAAAATTCTTTTTCGATGTGCGTGCACGACTGGAGACGTCCGCAGCTTTAAGAGTCCTCTCCACCCCCATCCCGGTCCCGCGGCCGTGAGTCAGTGTCTCCTTCCCTCCCCCTTGTACCAGCTTCTGCTTCAGAAGTGGGCTCAGGCTGTTGCCATGGAAACTGCAGCCAGCAATGGGGAAGGCATGGGGGCTGCGAGGGGGCCCAGAGAGCCCTGAAGGCTGGAATTTTCCAGGCTCTGAAAATCACGCTGCTTAGCAATAAATGAGAGAATAAAGTCACGGGTCTTTGTCCTCACTGAGGAGAGGCCACGCAGGCTTCAGGCCCAGGCCAGCTCCTCTCCGTGGGCTCCCCTCTGGTGGCTGCTGCCTGAGGAGCTCGCCAGGCGGAGTGTCTTTTTAAGGCTGATTCTCTCCAGCTAATTTTCTTGGGGTAATTTGCGGGAAAGGGATGCAATCATGACCACTCTCCTCCTTAGCGCTCCGTGCCCCTGAAATTCCCCTCAAGCAAGCTCGGGGCTACCCACCGTCGTTGCTCTAGTTATCAGTGACCCTAACTGTGGACCCCAAAAGTGCCTCTCTTGAAAGGCACTGGGCATCCATCCAGTGGATGTGTCAGTCACCTATTTCTGCGTAACAATCATTCCAAATGGAGCAACATGACACTTCATCACCATCACAGTCCCTGGGGCTCGCAGGCAGCAGTTGGGCCCCTCGGCTGCTTTCCTTTCTGGGTCTCGGGGTCCTCCTCCAGGCCCACTCACTTTGGGGCTGTAGGACTGAGACCCCTGCTTCGCTTGCTGTTGGCTCCTGGGGCCTCCTGCAGTCCCTGCCACGTGGCCCTCTCATAGATAAGACGGCTCACTCCTCCACATGTGGGTCCTCCCTGTTGCAAAGTCTTTGAGGAAGCTGAGGCTTAGGACAAACTTGCCTTTTCATGCCTTAGGGTTTGCGTTTACTATTTCTGTGAACATGTGGGGACTAAGTTAGGGACTAGTGCAGACAAATTTCAGGGTTCGAGTTTTCCTGGCCCCCTCAAGGTACCTGGTGTGGAGCGAATCATGGCCTCCAGAATCGTACGTCGAAGCCCTAGCTCCCAGCGTGGCGGGATTAGGAGGTGGGGTCCCTGGGAGGTGGTGAGGGGCAGGCCAGGCCGGGAGGGTGGGCCCACAATGGGATTCGTGCCCTTCCAAGGAGAGACACCTGAGCTCGGCCCCCACCACGGACACAGCGAGGAGGGGCCGTCTGCAAGCCAGAAGAGGGTTCTCCCCAGAACCGGGACCACGAGGAAATGCCTGGTGTCCAAGCCTCCCAGGCCCTGGCGTGTTATCATGGCAGCCTGGGCGGACTGAGGCGGCCCTGTGTCCAAGCTCGCATCCGGGAAGGGCCGATCTCCGTTCACAGCCTCCCCGTGGCTCCTCCCGCGTCCTGCTCCTGCTCTCATTTCCAGTCTGCCCACACATTCATGGGGCGCTCCTGCCCCCGTGTCGCTCCCATCCCAGTCCTCCACCTTCCTCCTGTCCCTAACATTTCTCCCCCGACTTTGCCCCCTTTCCCATTCTTCTTCGACTAGAGTGAAGCCTCTGGGTGCTTACGGCTCATCCTGTCCTCACCTGAATGCCCTGAACCCATAGCTGGTGCCCCAAAGACTCGCTGAAGAATCAAGTGAGTTTCTGGAGTAAATGAATGACTCTTCTGATCACCTACAGCCTAAGGGAGTCAGGCTGGTACCTGCCTTTACTTCCCTTTTAGTCTGTATGTCCAGGACTGTGCCTGCCACACAGCAGGGACATGGTTGGTGTTTGTTGACTGACTCACAGAGCAAATGAGGGGAGCCGTTGAAGTTGGTACCACTGGGCTCACAGTGGATGAGTGGGCCCTGAACCACGCCTCCGGAGCTTGGGCGGCCTCCCCCCACCCCCACCACTGGGCGACATTGCCTCGCATTTCATGTGCATCAACGCTTTCCTTGAACTACTCCAGCCAGCAGCCTCCAGACTGCAATAATTCTCCCATCCCTGGGGACCCTGGCTGCCAGCCACACAGTGTAGCCTGTTCTTCAACTGGGATTGGCTGAGGCTGTTGCCATGGAAACTAAAGCTGCCGTCAGGAGGAGGGGTCCAGAGAGCCCCAGACTAGAATGTTCCGTGATTCTTGTAAAGACTGTGAGCTAACGGTCGTGGCCTGGCACACAGCGGGAACTAACTGCTTGGGAGTGAAGGTCTAGCCCTGCCTCAGGAGTCACCTGTGGGAGGGCTGGGCCACCGCACACCTCACTTCCACCTGCTTTTGGAAAGTGTTCATTTCCAGAGTGGAAACCTATGTGGGCAGCATTCGAATTCACCCCTCCATCCCCTCACCCACCACCCACCACCACCCACCTGCCCACCTCTACTAACTTCATGCTGTTCTGACGTTTCACACTGGGGGAGAGGGGCTTACCAACCGAGGCAGAGGCTGGCCTCCCAGGGCTCCCTAATCCTAAAGGTACCAAGGGCCAGAGAGCATGTCTTTCATCTGCCTCTATCTGACTCCCCAAGCCCCTCTCCCCTACCCTGAATCCCTTGGGGCCAAGTGCAACGCCCCAGAGGCCATCCCACAGCCCAGAGCCCCCTGGGGTCCCTCAGGCAAGCCCACCATAAGCTGTTGCCCGCCCTGCCCTGCCTTTCCCACGGAGGAAACCCGATGGAGGCTCTGACCTAGGCCCCCTCCCCCTGTCCTCTGCCTCCCACCGCCTTGGTGCTACCCCGGCTTCCCCATGGCTTCTCTTCCTGCTGGGAATGTAAGTCACACAAACCTCTCCATGGCATCGGCCTCTCTGTGGTCCCTAGGTGGCCCACATACATTAGATCCCCTGGGTACAATGAGAACGCCCCAGCACACGCCTGGCCCCCACGACAGCCTCTCACCGAGCAGCCCCCCTTCCCTCTCTGTTCTCTTTTGCCCCAGGGTGCTTCCCCCTGACACCACCGCATTGCTGTTGTGTCTGGGGCAAAGGACAGAAGACATGGCTTCCATCGGTGGCTCTTTTTGACACTTGTGGTGTCCTTAGGAGTCCACACAGACCCAAATGGTAAATTTTTGGCACTGCCCAAAACTGCATTAGCAAAAAATCAACTTATTTGACACGGAATTTACAGACCACAAAATGCACGGCTCTAAGCATCCCAATACCGGGTGTTGGCAGAAGCATGCGCTGTGTAATCAGCACCACACCGAGACGCAGGCAGACCCAGGACGCTTTTCACTAAGATAAAAAGTGCCGAGTCACCCACAGCAGCGAGTAGGCGCTCAATAAATATTTGTTGCATGAATATGTGAAAGGATGGACAAAAAATATGGTGAGGTTGCCAATTGCTTATGTCCTAGCCATCGCTGAGGTGAAAATGCAAGGCTTCCTGACTCAGCTCAGAGCCGACTCAGGCTCAGAGCCCACGCTGTCTGAGGACCAGGGGTGTGTGGCTTCTGGGGCTGTGGACTGGCAGCCTCCCAGCCTTGCTCCCTCTGCAGAGCTCCTGGTCCCTTAGCAACCCAGCAGACTCCATCTGATACCATGGAAATGCCTGCAAGGACAGGAAACCAACTGGCTGAAAATCAACAAAGAGAACCTTAGAGAATGGAATGTTCTGGAATCTTGCGTTGGATGGAGTGTGTATTTAAAACTCCAGCCTAGAATCCTCCAGTTGCTCATTCATTATTTGTGAGTAAATACAAACACGGGCTCTTCCCTCATGCACAACTGATGGAAGGTAAAATGGTGCAGCTGCCACAGAAAATAGTATGGCAGCTCCTCCAGAAATTAAACAGAGCTGCTGTGTGATCAGCCGCTCTACTTCTGGGTGCACACCCAAAGGAAAGGAGAGCAGAGACTGAGGTGCTTGTACACCCCTGCTCACAGCAGCATTGTTCACAACAGCCAAAAGGTGGAAGCAACCCAGTGTCCATCAAAAGGGGCTCAGTTAAACAAAATGTGGTATATGTATACGGCGAAATATTATTCAGCCTTAAAAAGGAGGGAAATTCTGATGCCTGCTGCAACATGGATGAACCTTGAGCCTGTTATGCTCAGTGAAATAATCCAGTCAGAGAGACAAACACAGTGTTTCCACTTATCGGAGTTTCCTACATATTCAAATCCCCGGGGACAGAAAGGACGGTGAGTGCCAGGGGCTGGCGTTGCTGGGGAATGGGGATGGTTTTCTAATGGGGACAGAGATCAGTTTTGCAAGATGAAGAGCGTTCTGGAGTCTGGCTTCACAGCGATGCGACTGTACTCGCTGCCACTGAACTGCATGCTTACAATGATTAAGATGGTGAATTTTATGTTGTGTGCATTTTGTCAGAATTTAAAAAATAAATATT